GGTTAACTATGGAAGTTCTGCTGTATGTTCAAAGTTATTTGGGAGAAACTGGGAAATCCTGAGAACCAAGGAAAGAAGGAACAGAAAAAGATGGGTCCAGGGAGATGCTTGTGTCTGAAATTGTGTCCAATTCATTTCTCCCAGGTCTCTCATAGCATCTTGGACTTAGTACATGCTCAATACGTTCTTTACACGAAATGAGTTAGACATCCCTTAGTGCCTTAAAGGGTTAACCTAAGTACCCAGAGCTGCAGGGAGATGAATCGCCACAGGGCGGCGACAGAGGCCAGAAGGTGAGAGAAGCAGCAGGTGCGCAGAGGTAGAAGGGGTAAGTCTGGCGAGGGTGCTAAACTGAACCTAAAAAAGAAGAGGGAAAACTGAAGAGGGGGGAAAGGACACTACAATGACTTTTAGATCCAAGGAGAGTGTGGGCTGTCTCCCTGGGTGTGATGAAATCTGAGGAGGTGGCTGGACTTCAGATTTGATTCTGAGCCAGTGAAGGACTTGGTCTCCTAGATCCTTGGGGGAGTCTCGATGACTCACTTTTCCTCAAGTATAGATGAAAAATGACAAGCATTCCCAGATTTCCCCTGCTGTCCAAAGCCCAGCAAGACCCCAAAGGAAAGAAAACATTGTTCCTTCAACAAAGTGTCTCAGGAAATGTGGGGAAGTCCCCAGCTCCAATCAGCCATAAATTGACACCGAAAACAGGCTCACAGACCAAATATCTTGTACTGACAGTTTTCCAGTCTCTTGGCTCTCCAAACAATAGAATGCCGTGAGAGAGAGACCGGTGCTCTGGGGGACCTGGGGAGAGGAGGTCAGTTTCCTGTCAGTTTTCTACACCAATTATTTGCTTCCTTGGTCCTTTCCCCCCTTGGACTGTTATTCCTCTGGTGTGGAGAACCAAGCTTCATTCCTACAAATTTAATTCATTACCTTATGTATGTTATAAATGTTTCCTGAGCTCTGACCACGTGCCAGTCACAAAAGAGAAAAGACCATTGCACAGATGCAGCTTATTTTCTATGGAGAAGGAAGGGGGGTGATGGGCAATAAATTGGTGAGCAAATGAGTAAACGAGATATGCTTAGCAGGTGATAAGTGGCATGATGGAAACATCGCAGGTGAATTGACAGGGAATAACGGGGTGTGCAGGGTAGCTGGGACCACATCCCCTTGCATGTCAGGGAAGGTCGGTCTTTAGGGAGGTGATATTTGCATGGAGGCTCCGAGGATGAAGGCACAGCTGTCCTAAAGAGCACAGGAAAGGGCATTCTAGGCAGAAGAGATGTCAGTGCAAAGAGTCTCAGAGTGGAAAAGAGATTTGCCCCTTAAAAATTGCCACTCGCTGTAAAGCTGAGTGAAAAAGGGCATGACAAAGTCAGGACTGATGGCGGAAATCCTGTCAGACAGTGTCCTGTCTCTAACTGCAGCAGGGAGAACTAGAAGCCAGACTGGGGGTGTAATATTAGATCTTACTAAAGATGGGCTTTATTACTTTCATCAGATTTTCTAGGAGTGCTACAACATTCTTCTTCCCCACATCTGCACCAATGACAGTAACTCGTACTTCACAGCGAGAAGGCAAGGTCTACTCTCTCAGACTGGAAACATGATAGGTAGAGTTAGAGCTACCTACAGTGTATTCTTCCAGGACATAGAGAACTACCCAGGAAAAAATATCTGGGAAATCTAGGGAGTTGGCAACTTTAAGTACTCACAAACGTGCTAGGAACACACAAAGAAAGGAGGGCAGCAATGGCAGGGATGGGGAAGCGGAGGCTCTTGCACTAGAAACCAAGTTTGCAGTTGACTGGATAATGCCTTACAGATACTGGAGAATTGCAAGGACTTAGTCATCTTGTTTATAAAAGTGTGTCTTAGAGGTTTCCTAAATCTTAATGTGGCAGAAGATGCCTGATCTATCCCTAAAGTGATGTTCCCCAATTCCCCTAAAACAAATCCCCCCAGCTATCTTGTGGAGCTGCCCTCTTCTTTGTACCAAAAAGTTATAGAAAAGATGAAAGCTAACACACATTTTTGCTGAACTGATTTCTAAACACCCCACCTCCTGGTGGGCCCCGCATCCCTTCTGCCCAAATCACCTAGAAGATGTTGAGAGATGATTTGGAAGGACTTGGACTTGTTAATTAACCTAAACAGTCACATTCGTTTGCAAGGTGCATTATTGTTAATTAAAACTGTGATTCTCCTTGTGCCCAGACGGCGGGCTGCTGTTGTCGGAATAATTAGATAGCATACGATGGTTTTCATGCAAATCCCTGGCAATTAGACTTGGCGATGAATTGGGTTTGAAATCCCAGTGAAGTTCTCAGTCACAATTCCTCTGAGGGTGGTTCCAGAAGGAAGGTGACGATGGAGGTGGGGGATAGCAAAATAGGGGTGGATAAAAGGGTGTGAGGACCAGGCAATTCATTCCTAAATCCTCCAGAGGGACCCCAGGCCCAAATAAAGGAATGATGGCATCAATGTGATATTCAAACTTCCCTCAAACAATAGGTCTCTCCCTTCAAAAAAAAAAAAAGCAATTCGGTTTGACCCTCCCCAAGGCTTTGTGTGCTCCTGAGAGTTTGCCACCTTGGCTCTCATCTTTCTGAGAAGATTTTTTCTTTAGCCAGGAGGCCCAATAACTCATACACAGCTAAAGTCTCTGCCAGCCCTAAGATTAAATTCTTAGGGGTTCTAAGGAAACAAGATTTGTATTCCTGAGGGGTTGCAGAAGAGATACCAGATTCGGCCCAGTTTTAGAGTGGTTGGTGGAGTGGAAGGGGTTTAATGGATGGGGTAGCAGGTTCCCAGGGAAGGACTGAGGTCAGCGTTAGACTTAAGGAGGAAGTCTCCAACTGCCCCACAGACGATGAGAGGGCCCACCCCAGGGGACTATGGCAAAGCCAGAGGGGGTGGGCCTGAGGAGGAGCAGCCCCAGGTCCCTGTCCCCAGCTGAGGACTTCTGCCTCTGCCTTCCCTTTGTGTGGACCGTGATAGCTGCTGAGCTTTCCCTGCCTGTCTGGGGTTCTCTCTGGACTGAGCCAGGAGGGATTTCTATCCGGAGACTGCAGGTGGGGGGTGGTGGATAAGAGAGGCCTAGTGGGCTTAAATTAAGCCTCCCTAACACCAAGCCAATGCTGGAAGATTCAGGGAATCAAAATCACCCTCTCCTCCCCCTCAACTAGGTCAGCCTCCAAATCAGTACCTTGGAAGGAAGGAGGGCAACATCTGGCAGGATTGAGAGAGTGGTCAAGGGTAGGGTTGGAGGGGGGATTTGGAGAGGAGCCTGGCAAGAAAACAGGAGAGAAAGAAAATACCAAGATGCATTTCTGAACTGTGGCTGGAGACTTGAGCATAATTTAGGTTTATAAATTCTTTCCTTTTTCTTCATTTTCCCTCCCTTCCTTTCTGCTTCAGAATGCCTCCCGCGTCTCAATCGGTCCCTAAATCCCGCCTTCCAATTTTTGATGCACCAATCAGGAGCTAACCTGTTCGTTGCTAAGAGACAGGAGGTGGGAGATTTAGAGGCTTTGTCATGGCACCCACCCGGGAACATTCCCTGAGCCTTTTGCACCCTCTGCCTAAGATATTCTAACTGATCTCCCCTCCTCTCCTGTGTTCTCCTATTTATTCCCAAGCCCAGAGAGTCAAGCAGAAACATTTAAGGAAGAAGCCAGGCATGACACATATTTGAAAAATGGAAAGACTGTAATTGGATTCAAACAGATATGAGGTAGCTGCTCAAGCTTCCCAACCTCTAGTTGGGCTGGAGGGAAGAACTCATTGTTCTGTGGACTGTTGGATAGAGGGTAAATTTGTCATTGGTGGTGAAACCTGTGCCCCTTCTGAAAAAGGGATTATTCCCTCTAATCATCCCCTACACTTGGCTGGGTAGAGACTGAAATAAAAGCCTCTGAGGTCATGAGTAAACAGCTGGAGAATCAGGGGCTGTGTGTGGAAGAGGCGCCCAGAGCACCAGGGGACAGCATGCAAGGTGCAAGGAAAGATGTAAGTGAGAAAGCAAGGTTTATTTTAAAAGCTGGGGTTTGAAAGGGAAATTTGGGGAATTCCAAGCAGAAGATGAATCACATCCCCCTTTAAGTTTCTCCACCCTTCACAACTTTTTGATCTTTTCTTCCCTCCACACTTCCTACACAGAAAAGACTAGGCAAAAAAACCAGGGTACAGAAAACTCATTTGGGTAAGGAGTGAGTCATAAATCCTGATTCCATATCCTGAAAACAGGGATGGGCACAGAATTAAGCAGGGGGTGGGGCCAGGAGAGAGGCCAGTGCACACACATAGGTGCCTGTGGCTCAGACGCTGACAGGGAGGCAGGCACACGGGTGGACACATGTTATTACATGCAGACCTCTGACCTGAATAAAGACACTAACAGATCTAGAACAGATGCTTGTGTGTGTGCACGCGTGCGTGCACACACACACTCAGGAATTAGGGTCATGCAGAGGAACCTGGGAGAGATGACTCCTAGGAGGTGGCTTTTAAAATTATCTTGGTATGTTCCTCGGGAAGTCCATCCTGGGAGAAGGACTGAATAACTGCCTCCACCCCCAGCCCTGATGTCTAAACAGAGCCAGAGAGGAGACAGAAGACAGAGAGAGAGGCTGACTGGCTCGAACACGCAAGAGGAGGCTTTGCACCGGGCCATACCGTCACTCTCCGTTTCTGTCTGAGTTCTGCTGCCTGCAACTTTCCCCTTTTTCTTCAGCCGCTAAGCCACCACTTCTGGTTTCTGGGTGTTTAGCTGCTGCCCTCATGTTCTGGTTCCTGTCCTCTTCCCTCTGGGGAAGGTAGTCACTTCACCCCAAAAAAGAACGTCTACGTGTCCTGAGCATGTCCCCCGTCATCTACTTTCTCCTGAGAACACCTGCAGGACAAGGCGCCAGCAGGAAAGTGGCACACAATCTTCCTCTCCATTTTCCTTCCTCTCTCTTTCATTCCCCCCCAAAATAAGAAACCGCCCATTTCACAAAGCAATGTAGACTTTAATTCAGGTTGACAGGTGGGAAGAAAACTAGGATTTTTCCTCAAGGGTGTTCGGATGAGAAGACCATCTTTCAGGGAGGGTGACCTGGCGGCAGAGCAGGGCCAGGAGCAGGGGTGCAGCCACACAGTGCAGTATCGCCAGGGCTTCGGCCAGGTCCAGCAGCATGTCCAGAACTCGCTGGGCCACACAATTTGGCAGTGGCCAGAGCCCGAACCTCACCAGGGAGTCCAGTCCCAGAAGCACCCCATGAGGCCACCAGAAAATGAACCAGGCCCAGAGGATATCCACCCTGGGGCCCACCCCCCTGCTTGGCGCCTTCATCAGCACCTTGGCTCCTAGCAAACCCAGTGGCAGTAAGACAAAGATGACAAGACAGATAGCAGTGTGTATGCAATGCAAAACCTTCAAGTCCCTGCTGGATATCATGGTGCAGATTCCATAGGCGGTGCCACTGCCCAGGGTGATCGGCAATGCCAGTAGGGTGGCCGCTACCCAAAGTCCCACAGTAAACCCCAGTGTGAGGCCTGGGACCAGGCCTGCACCCAGTTTGGGGCCCAGACAGGCACGACACCCTATCAGCAGAGCCTGGGCAAAGGCGGAGCCATACCAGACATAGTAGCCCAGTCTGCACAGGGCGGTGCTGGGGGTGCTGCTTAGTCCTGGCCCCAGGATGGGCACCACGATGCTGAAGAGGGCACTGCCCACAGCTAGTTGTGCCAGGATGGGCCGGCCAGGGCAGAGGTGCCAGTGGAAGAGAGGCCTGAAAAGTGCAAAGAGCACAGCTGTGCTGGCCAGGATGCCCAGGATGCTGGCCAGGATGAAGAAGGGCAGCGAGGAGCTGTCCAGCAGCTTACAGGAGTGGCAGGGGGCAGCGTTTTCCAGGTTGTCATAGGAGATGTTCTCATAGTCTGTATAATTCCATGAGATGTCTCCAAATGCCTTCTCACTTGTGTTCTCGTCTGACAAGAGGGACGGCTCCACCTGGAGGACATACCCACAGGACGCATCAGAGAGAACAGTCCCCCCCCCCCCCCAAGAGTCTCCTGGAATCTAGTGGAAGACTGAGGAAAGCGGGACTGCGAGGGGGCTTGGGTCAAGGAACAAGGGAACCCTGGGTGGTGAATGCAGTGAGGACAGAGAAGGACCGAGGAGGGAGGCTGACATGGCTGTGTAGGAACACAGAGTTACAAGAAAACAGGGAGGGGGTAGTGGGCAGGCTGGTCCTGGAGGGGCAGAACAAGGTCAGAGGAGAGGGAGAGGGTGAGGGACTCAGATGGAACCAACTGACAGGCAAACCAGAAGGAAAACACTGGGGAGCTTGGATGCTGGCCTAGGAAGGAGAGAACAAAATAGATGTTTTAAAATGAGAGAAAATGCTAGCCTGAGCAAGAACCACCAAAAATAGAAAAATAAGCCTGCCATTGTGTTGGGTGCCTGTAGTCCCAGCTACTTGGGAGGCTGAGGCAGGAGGATCGCTTGAGCCCAGGAGTTGGAGGTTTCTGTGATCTAGGCTGACCGGAGCCAGGGTGACAGAGTAAGACCCTGTCTCAATAAATAAAGAAATAAATAAAATAAAATGAGAGAAAATGGAGGGAAAAAATGAGAGGTGAGGAGAAAGGGGAAGAGGTCTAAAGGCAGGAGGAGCAAACAGAAGCAGCTGTGGGGGCTGCGAGGCTTGGCCCCATACTCACCCGGTGCAGACAGTTCCCCATGGCACTGCTGGGCTCAGGGCAGGCAGAGAGAAGGGCTGGGGCCACTCTGGCTCTGTCAGTGTCTGTGGTTCCAAGATAAGTGCCAAGGACTAATGAGGCCCATCAGCTTTGGGGCAGGGCCATGGGGGGCATTCAGGAAGCTTTCACCCCCACACCCCACCTGCCACTGCCTGTCCAACCCTCAGTCCCCAGGCTTCCTGTTTTTTGAGTGGATTGACTGGTCAGGACTGCAGGCGGGAAAGGAAGAAGGTGGGGACCACAAAGTGGGTATTTTCCTGAAGTGAAAAGGGAGGCCAAGAAACCAGGGGGCTTTCCAGCAAGTAGAGATTCTTCAAGCACAAGGAAGGAAGAGGAGGCCAGGGGTGACTTGTGAGGCCGAGATAAGAGAGGTGCTGGGAAGTTGGAGTGAAAGGGCAGCTTAGGACGTTCCCCTTGAACTTAAGCCAAGGAAAGCAGTCCCAAAGCCCTATGTTATGGAGAGGGGTATTAGTATGCTTTGGGGGGACCCGTCCACCTTGCTGGGTGTGCATGTGGGCCTGAGCTCCAGGCATATCAGACCAGGTGTGTGAGCCTCTGTATGTGTGTGTGTGTGTGCTGGGTATCAGCGTGCACATGTCTGTTTCTCAGGGCTGGGCACGCGTCTGGGTGTGGGTATCGCTATCTCTAAGTGTCTCAGAGTGAGGAGGGAGGGTTGGGTGACTGTCCAGGCTGCACAGTGGAGCTACTTCAGGGAATGATTGGGCATTTGCTGAGCCACCTATGGGCACAGCGAATACATCTTGCATATGAAACTGAGCACATGGTCTGACAAGTTGAAATAGACTCTGGGGGACCATGGGACAGCATATTTTAAAATGGGACTGTTGCCCACAGGGTAATCTCCATTCATTTCTGTTGGGAGACATAAAGTCTCTGGAATGCTTCACTGGCCAGCTATCTTAACAATAGTAAAGTTTCTTCTGGGGCAGCAAAGCTATTTCTCTCTGGCTGGCAGAGAAAGTGCATCTACCCTGCAGGCAGATCTTCCTAAGCAAGAGCTTCTCCTCCTTTGTGGCCCCTGCTTAGAAGCTGTCTAGAGCAGCTTCTAAGGACCTCTGCTGTTTCATCACCTGCTTTGCATTTAATCTCCTCAGTTGAGGAGACCTGTCTTTGTGGGGGGAGCCACAGAGTGTCCAGGTCAGAACAAGGGAGGGTTGATTAGGGGACACTTTAATTTGTTAAAGAAGGTATGGGATGTTTTAACCCCAATTCTATCAAAGATCTTCCATCCATTCAGGTAGAGGATACCTTCGGGCAAAGCACCTCAGACTTAAGGTACCTAGGGGCAGAGTGCAGACCTTGGAGAGATTTTCCCCTTTCCTCCCAGAACAGGAGCTCAAGATTCAGGTTCCAGGGCTAGAAGGAGGGTCTGCTGAAGCTGTCCTGTGAGGCGCTGGCACGCTTCCATCTCCCTCTCAACATTCTCCAGTCCTGCCTGGCAGGGGGCTGGGGAGCTGTCAGATGCCCACCCCAAACACTCTGGAGGGAAGGGCCTCGCCAAAAAGGTGAACCACACTTCTCTCCCTTGGAGAGCCACACTGTTTCCTTACACAGATGCTCTTGGAAGAGAGGCCTGGCAGGGGACACACCACCTATCCAGCTAGCAGCATTGGGTGCAAGGTATACCAGAAAAATAGCCTGCCCTTAGACACATCCATCCCAGCAGCAGTGACAGCAGCAGAAAGGAGGCAGCCGAACGACACGGATAATCCAGATATATTGAGGGTGGCCCCTCTGAGATTAGCACAGGAGAGTTAGAAAGATTATAAAGATACACAGTCCCCTCCCTGCTCCCTTTCCCTACCCCCACCCCCGGACAGACGCACACAGCACAGGCCCCTCTTCCCCCCGCCCCCCGTACAAATATGGCTTCTGTGTAATATGGACAGAGTGGTTCAGCTCGACGAGGAAAAGTCATTTCCCAAAAGCAGGTGCTGGGAGATAAGGAGCCCTCCAGGCCTGGGGCCCCAGGCTCCCTTGCTGTTGTAAGAGGAGGGGGCCCTGGCTTAGGTGAGGGGCTGCCTGTGGTGCCCAGGGCCCAACCAGTGGCTGGAAGGTTCACAAGGGCATTACCTGAACTGAAGGGGGTGGGCAGGCCTGCTGGATTGCAGCTGCCCCGTTACGAACGCCTGTTGTCAGAGCAGGGAGGACATGCTGGCAAAGGGTGGGAGTGATGCCCAGGGCATCCTGGGTCTGAGGTGGGGCAGTCAGCCAGGACAGGGAGGGCCAACAACCTGATCTCCACGGCAACCAGCTGGGGGCCATGGAAGGAAGACAGGAAAGCAAAAGAAAAATCGGGGACACAGCCCTCAACTCACTGGGTGCAGGCTATGGGGAAAAGAAGTGATGGTAGGTTGGTAGGTTATTCAGGGTCAGTGCCAGGGAGAGGCCTGAGGGATGCATAGCAAAGGCAGTGCCACTGACTCCATGGCTCGGGATGAGGGAAGCCAGGGAGGGGCTGACTCCCTGTGCTTTGGGAAGAGACAGAAAGGACAGCTGGGCAAACACACATGATGGGACTCCTTTCTCCAAGACTGATGGGCACTGGGGAAGGTACAAACAGTCCCAGGTTGGAGCACCCTCCCAGGAAAGGTACAAACACTGGCCAGGAGTCCCCCCCACATGAGGCCTCCTTCAAACGTCCCACATCCTTGCCATTTGCCCAGGACCCCTGGCCCTTGGCCCTCCTCCTCAATCCCTCCCTCTGCCTCACATTCACTCACACACATAGGCACACACACAATACACACGCACACACACACGCACGCATGCACACACACAGATTCACATCATTCCCTTAGCTGGGCAGGAAACAGCTCAGTGCAGTGAAGCTCCTTTTAGTATTTTTGTTGTTAAGTCTGCCTGGCTGCTGAGGGCAGAGGGCTGAGGGCTGGCGTGGGGACCAGGAAGGAGCACAGAGCAGCCAAGAAGGGCAGAGCAGTTGCTGAGCATTGCCACGGAGGAGAGGTTGCTGTGCAACCATCCAGGGTCTTGGGCGAGAGTGAGGGGCCCCCTGGAGGGGGCGGCAGACACAGTCCAGGCCCCAGAGCAGCACCTCTCCTGTGGCTGTGAGGGCGAGGAGGGACAGCCCTGTTCTGTATCCCCCAAGGGTGGTTCCCATGGAAAGGGCCTGGCTTCATTCATTTTGGGGGCAATGGAGGGATGGCCCATCTCCGCCATCCTTTCTTTCTAAATGTACCCTTTCCTGCAGGGGCCTGTGTCCTTCCCGGGTTAAAGCCCTGGGACTTCCCATTCACCCTCTTCTCACGGCAATGGAAGAGGGTGTCAGGGTGGTACCCACCTCCCTGTCCATAGCTCTTAGTGTGTGGCTGGCCACCCCCAGCCCTTGCTCACAACCCTCCTGCTCCTGGGTTTCTGGGGAAGCCTGGGAAGCTGCTGTGCTGTGGAGGATGGAGGGAGGGCGGGTGAGAGGCCCCACCTCCCCCAGCGGCCTGACCCTCTCCCTGCCCCTCCACCGTCATTCTCCTAACACTCCCCAACTCCAGTTTTTTGCTCTCCTCACCCCAAGGCCCCCACCTCTCCAGCTTGGAGACAGATTTGATTTGGGATTGTTACAAAAATAATAATAATAACCCAAACGCAGAGAAGCCACGGAAAGGGCTGAGGGCCGCCCTCCTCCCTCCCCGTTCCAAACCGAGTACAAAACCGCACCCAAAGCAGACATTCTGTACAGGGGGGTGGGTGGGCTGGGGAGCAAGCGGGAGGGGCGGCCCTGGGGTCGCTCTGTACAAGTCCGGGTTGGTGACGGCCCCAGCAGTCCCCATGGGGCCCCTGAGGGGCGCCGGAGGTGGGCAGGCGCCCCTAGATGAAGTACTCCTTCTTGTCATCCCCGCCTGACTGCCCGCCTTCTGCGTTGATGATGGCCGTGTCCGCGTCTGGGGCATCGTCAGAGCCTTTGGCCTCATGTGTCAGGTAGGTTCCTGCACAGACACAGAGGCTCCTCGGTTCAGGAGCCGCTTCGGAACCTCTGCCCATTTCCCCGCCCACCCACTCACGCACGCATTGCTCAAGCAAGTCTTCTCTTGCCTGCAGCCTTCTCCCACCCTATCGTACCTATTTTGCCTGTTGCTGCCAACATCCCACACCTGACCACACCCCCCATGAATAGTGAATCCTGCCCTTAAGTACAGAATCTCATCTGGAACACAGGCAAAAAAGAGAGGTGGGCATGTGCGTGTATGTGTGGTGTGCGCGCGCGCGTATGCACGCAAATTGGTTGACAAGGAAACTGCTGTGTCAGCATCAAGAGCCACGCAGCTGAGACTTGGCTCACGTAGGACCAGCCCATGGAGTCAGGCAGCTGGCCAGAAGTGGTAACAGAGCAGCAAGTCTGAAAGGAAAGAAGTGAGGAAAGGGTAGAAAGGAGGGATGGAAATGGGGAGAGAAAAGAAAAGCAACGGTATGGGAGGTAAGGGGGAGCAGGAGATCAAAGGGGAGGAGAAATGAGGCTGAAAAGGCAGAAAGAAAGAAAGTGCAGGACAAAATAAGATGGAGATGCCCTTTCTGGAGCTCTGTCTTCTAGCGGAGACCTACACGGACAGCAGCTACTGACCAAATGGTTTGGTTTTACCTGAACCATCCCCCAAGTGCAGGTGGCCAGGCTTTGCTCTGACTAGTGGTGCTCTTATCACAGGGTTGGCTGCCCTTGTTCTTTCTCAAACACCCAAAGGGCTGAGCCCAGTCTCTGAAGGTCCTTCCCTTCCCTGCCCCCACCCCAGTTCTGCTGACACTTCCCTCACACCTCTGACCTTTGTGCCGGATCAAGTAGTGGCCGAGGAAGATGAGCAGGATGAGCAGCAGGAAGACAATGAAAGCCACGACTCCCCCGATGATAGCATGATAGGTGCTGGAAGAGGAGGGCACGGGGCTGGGGTCTGGAGGGAAGGGAGACACACGCGTCAGGTCTGGGGAGACTGCTCATCTCACAACAGTCTGTGGCCATGGGGAGCAGAGAATAGGCACTGACAGCAGGAGAATGGAGCAGCACCATTCCACAAAGGGGAGATGCCTTATTTTCTCCTCTAGTTTCTTGTACCCTACCTGAAATATAGTTATTGATAAG